CGCAGGAGCAATCATTTTCAAGCATGTCCTTTTGTACAATATTTAAATAGAAAACTTTTGAAGGCTGGAACATTACTTCAGGTTCGGTGAAGCAGTGGATCTCGACCGAAGATTTAGATATGGGAGAGAAATAAATGAGTGTGGTGACAGTAACAGAGGAAGAAGAACAAGACGAACATCATCGGACATGTTAATATTTGTAAGATATTGACCGCGTTGGTCAACGGTTAGATCGTTGGGCTTCTAATAAATACGTTACGGGCTCGAGATTAGGTATGGCTGGCTGAGGACGACTAATGTCCCAGAAACAGCTTATTCCAGTCTCCCTTGTCTTTGCCTGCAATGTTCAACTGTGCGGCTGCTGTCGGGGCTCGAGGGTGAGCCCGAAAGAACAGAACGGAATGGGTAAGTCGTGCAACCGGTCGGTGAGGAACTATCAGCCAAATTTTAATTATTTTTATATTTTATCTCTTAATTCTTTGTCTAAGCAATGCTCTTAACTGCGGAGAAAATTATATCCGTGTTCTGACACATTAAAGGTCCGTATATTCAGGACGATAAGAACGAATTATCGGAAACTGATAACTCAAATTCAAACGAGTACACAATGGGTATCGAGCTTGTTGAATAGAATGCAGCATTTTGAACTCTTGTTTCTTTTTCTATATGATGACACTCCACACAGTAATTACAACTCCCACGAACGCCCATGGCAGAATATAAGGGCCGATTCGACCGCCAAAAAACACAAACCTTACTGTGGAAGGCAGCCCAAAAGAGCAACGCGTGTAACTCCCCGGAAGGTCACTTATCAATTCCTCTAGCAGATACGACTCAGCGTAATACCTCACAGTGGAAGGGATAGGACACAGCTGAATCCACTTTCACCTTCCAGTTTGCATGTCGCGTTTGTTGCACCGCGTCCGGTCAACTTCCAGAAGCAAGGGGGTACGTTCGAATGCACGCCCCAGCACCTGTGCTTGCCCTTGCTCATCCGGTCTGGCCAATCACCTTCAAGACTGACGCGGACAGGACCTCATGGCGACGACTGCAACGCTCACACGCACCAGCCCCCTCGCGGGTGTGTGTGCACTTGTCCGACGGTTAACTTCATTAAGCCTATCTTACACAACCTCTGTACAGAATATACTATTCCCCCTATCTGACGTCTGAATATCGCAGTGGCAAGGGTTTTACGTAGTAACTTAGTCTACAGTGATAATGTCACTCAGAGAGAAGAAGACGACTCGATTGCTGGCACAATACCTTCATTCGCCTGAAGATTCAACATCCATCGCGGATTCATCATCAGAGACATTAGCAGAAAACGGTAGCAGAAACGGGTAATGCATATGCAGAAGTTTGCAGTATTTATAGGATACAGTCATTACTGCAGTCATTACTGA